GGAACAGTGGCGGACGGAGGAAGAGCAAGGTGCTCCAGGGCATGCCAGGGGCAGGGCCAGGGCCGCCCGAGCCCGGAACACAGAATGCCATCCCCCTCCTGGCGTGCGACTCCACGCAACCTGTGTTCACGTAGGTCACAAGCACCGTTAAGCTATGAGGCAGCGAGCGCCATCACTCACGTTCTTTTAAGTTACAGTGAAATTAAACATTAAAACGTTTCAACATAGGGCATCTCTTTTTGTATTTTGCATTCCAAATATGAAAAAAGAAGTAATTACATACTACTTATGTCCTGTATTATTGATCCTCTCAAAAAAAAAAAAAAAAAAAAAAGATAGGTGGGGGGAGAATGGAGGGAGAAGACGGAACGGTGATCCAGGCCGAGAAGGTGTGTGGAGGAAGGGTTGCTGAGACCGCAGTCACTGTGGACGAGCGCATCTTAGCAAACCAAAGGTGACAGTAACCGAACTCAAGCGGGAGCCCCGCACAGGACTACCTGTTCTAACTCCATGTTAGGACACCTAGTTAAATCTGAATTGCACATAAACATCAAATAATTTTTAGTATTAATGTGTCCCAAATATTGCTTTATTCACAGTGTAAGTATGTCTCAAATATTGCTTTTTAAAAAGTGTATGTCCCAAATACTGCGTATGAAAGATTTACACTTAAAAAAAAATCTGAAATTCAAATTTAACGAGATGACACATTTTTATTTGCTAACTCTGGCAATACTAGCTCTGGACCCAGTCCAAAGTACTTTTCTAGAAACGTCGAATCTCATGCTTAAATCCAACTGGGAACATGACCTACATTAGAACCAGTTTTCTTCTAAGTTTTGAAGAAAACAGAAATTTTAGGATACCATGAAAATTTAACTGGGCCCGTTTTGTGATGTCGAAACGCCTTCAACACACTCCTCTGCTCTGCATCCGTTTGCAGCATTACGAACCCAACTGCTATACGAACGCCGAGCACCGAGAAAGCAGTTTACGGAGGAACCGTTGAGAGACGGCAGATGCTGACTTGACTGTGAAAGGAAAGGAAAACTGGAAAAACCATTTTAAACTAGATCGACAGACGGCTGGCCAAGCGCTCCGCAGCCCTCGGCCACCACGTGTTACAGACCCATGCTCCCCAGCGCGCTTCCGTTTCACTTCACAGTCAAGAACAACACAGACAACCCCCCTAAAGAGACGGAAGAGGGCGTGGCGCGGCCCAGCGGCGCGAAGGGCCCGCTGGCTGGCCTGAGGCGCTCGGCCATCGCCGACAGGGACGAGGTATGTTAGCGGCGAGTTCAGGCCCTGCCGTTGTTCTGACTCAACTTTTTAAAAAGTCTTTTTGAACCTGAAGACCACCAGGGGCCACCAGACGGGGGATCCCCCCGTGGCGCAGCGCGCTCTGTGCAGACGGCCGCACGGACGAGGGAGGCGCAGGACGCCCCTCCGCATCAGTGTGGTGGCTGTACAGGCGTGCTGTGCCACACAGGAGCTATCTCCTCACAGGGCTAAAGCGATTATAGCTGTAAATTACACGTCCAGAGGAGTTTATAAATTTGATAAATGCACAAACTGTTTTAGCAGTGTCAATGCAGGCCTCAGAAACTGACCTCGATTCTTACAGTGACAAAGAAAGATGACTCTATCCACTTAAATTCGATGTTCTGTGGCCAGCCAGCAGAGCCTCTCACAGAAATTAGTTCGAGAGGACCAGCACAGGACTGAAAAATGAAAATGGCCGGTGGCCGAAAGAGTCAGGTCTCATCATTTGCAATTCTGTCAGAATCCACGGAAGGCAGGAAGTCACTGGCAAATGCTTTTACCCTCTCTGGTTGACTCTACCTTGAATTCTTCAACTCAGATTTGGCGCTGAGATAAATAAAAAAAGGCTACCCTTTTATTCCAGCCGTGGAATTTCCAGAAGGGACGCAGAGGCGCAGCCAAGGGCCAACGTGGCAACTCCACCTGCTGGCCACACGGCCCCACCTGTGAGGTGGAGGCCATTACGGTGTCCCCCTCACAGAGCGCCCGCAGCAAGGGAACGGACACATGTGATGCTCAGAGCAGCGTCTGGGACACAGTAACCCCTGAGGGTAATTCTTATTTCACATTAAAGATAATCTTTGCTCTGAAGAAAAACTAATAACGGCTGAACCCTTTTCTACTGAAAGACTATGCCTTGATTTCTCACCCTTATTTTTACGGCTCAGCTCATTAACAGGTTGTATAAAAATTTTCTTTCAAACAACAGGAATTCTGTTTAAAAAAAAAAAACAACTGTCTTCACACAATTCTGTTATAAACGCAGGTCTGACCTAAAACAATCGTATACCCCAAAAAAGTGAACTTTCACCCTAACTCTTAAGACTCTGCAATCCTGAATCAAGTGGTAACAAATACTTTGAGGCGTAAGAAAAAAATTCAGTACAAAATTTCTATTTAACGAGTAAGTAAAATAAAACAGGGTCAAGGGGAAAATATATAGTGTTATTAAATTCACAGATTTCTAGGTGCTAAAGATAAGCCTGTCAGGTGAAAATAATTAAATTCTCAATAGGTACTATAAAATAATAAAAGTATCTGATACTGTACATAATATCTAGTATCCTACATAATGGAAAGATTTACTAACAAAGATCTCAGAGTTTATTTTAATTAAAGACTTTTTAAAAAACCACATGTGCTACCATAACACACATATCCAGGAAAAGCTTACATAGGAATCATAGGTTTTAAATGGGTGAGATAGCTCATTTGTAACTTATTTTCACAAAAGGTGCAAAACTGTCCATCTTTAAGAAAAAACATACTAAGGGCTCAACGCGTGACCTTCAAAGCTTACTTAGGATTACCGAGATCAGTAATTAAAATTAATTGTGCGAACACGTATCACGTCGATGTGCACAAATTACAGATTCGGTGACGCATCCGCACTGCATTCAGCGCGATCACATCATCAGTGACTGTCGGCGCCGCTAACGCCCGCGCCCGGGAGGGAAACGCGCCGAGCCCAGGCGGGCCG